GTATTAGAGAAGCGCGTTGTATTTGACTTTTGACCGAATCGTATTGAGAATGAAACAAAATGATGTGAATTCTCCCGAGTCTTGACAGCCGTACGGAGTCGATTTACCTGCCCTCGAGACCCGCGAAAGCGAAACAATATTTTGAAACTCACAGGGCCTACCCAGTGCTTCAATATTACTCAGGCCTGGACTGCAATACATCTCACCTCAATTGCATTGTGAATCCTGATACAACATCAAAGCCACGAAGCCAGTGGCCCCAATCAGCACTCCTTGATATTGTAGATGGTATTCAATCATTGAGTCGTGAGGTCATCTCTCTTTAGCCCTCAAATATGGCTTGGGCTGAATACTGATCGTCTAGTAGTGACACGAGCCTCCCCTATAAACTCACTGTAGTTGTTCACCATAGCCATGCCAACTCTCTCTCTATCCACATACCTTAGGTCAATTTGAGCAACCAGTGAGCAAATCTCAAGAGACACAACCCAATAGAGGGCTAACGGCCCCCAGATTCCCATAGGATAAGGACATCCTTCAGCTCGGATTACTTAGAACATATCACAAAGCAGGATGGAGAGATTGTTTGAGCTCCATGTTGATAAGTGTATTGACTACATGGACGTCCGTTTCTCTATTACTTAAAAAGCGAATGCTACCCAATACCGTAAATGCCTGCTACCGAATAGAGAAAAAAAAGATCGTTGAACGACTGCTTAATGATATGCGGATGATGCGTTTTCTCTTCGCAGAGAATGCAAGTCTAGTGTATGCTTTGCGAGTGTACTGGTCCCCGTGTGGATGTTTTCATGCCGGGGGCGTGAAACGGGGACAAAAGAAAGGGAACAAAGGACATGATGAGAATTGTAGAAACTAGGAATGAAGATCCGAGTTGAGCCGAAGAAAGAGTCGCCAAGATACAGAGGTATAAGCAGCCATCAAGACGACGGCTTAGCAGGATCCTGAGACCCCGGCGGCTGCAGTGCTGAAGACCCGCATTTGGTAGCCGGATCCTGAACGGAGCACCCAGGCAGTTCAAAGGTTCCCGCGGTAGTCTTCGAGTCTCCATTGACAGCCGAGGAGAATTCGCCGCCCTTCTTCTGACCGGAAGTAGCCGTCGCCGTCTTCTTTCCGCTCTTCTCCTCCCCAACGGGTGCATTCACGAACAACATCTTGGACGTATCGGTGTAGACCAGAGAGTCTTAAGCTAATTGTCGTGGCCGTACTAGTCTCCCAGTTTAGGGACTGTTTGGGGGCGTAGGCACGTTTGGCCAAGGGGTAGGTCCACGGGGACCGCCGCCGGGTGGTGTAGGAGGGGGATCGGGAAAGGTAATTGGGTAGATGCCCAAGCCCTCGTATGGAATGTTTGTTGGTACGTGGATCTCTTCAAAGTCTTCGTCAGAAATGTGTGTTGGTACGTTGATCTTGTCAAAGATGTTTGAGTATATCGGGGACAACATTGTTGCAATGTGTGCCTCTCTAGACGAGTAATTTTATAGTGTGGCCTTGTTGGAGTTGTTCAGGATTTGGGGGCCAATTATGATCAAGTTGGTGAATAAGAGGTATCAAAGACGGTGTGTCGAGTGAATGATGAAGTGACTGATCAGTGTTTTCTGGGAGTCTTGCTAGGAGTGGTTGAGGGTTGTGGTGATAGAGTTCTGCCATCTGAGACATCCAGACCAGATGCCAGCCGCCTCCTATATACGTCTTCATGAACCCTCCATGAGGCTCTGCCTATACACCAAAACATATACACAGACAAGGACCCTCCACAACGTTGAACATTGCCCAGCTAGTCCATTGAACATGTCTATACCTCCGACACCATGTCCTCAAAGACATCCAAACGGCAACTGACCTGGCGCTTAGCGCGAAGATTACTGCCTTGTGTGACACGACAACCAGAGCTCATCTGCTAAATATCGCGTGTGACAAGGGATGGAAGGGGGTATTGCGAAAGGATACATCAACTTTGTACTCCCTTCCCGTAAGGATCTCAAGCCGCTTCTGGCAAGGCAAGTCGAAGCACATACAGCCTACCGGTCAGGCTCCCAGAAACCGGGAACGACCAACCAGATTCGGCATAAGGCTCCCAAGAGAGTGGGTAGGAAGGGCGCCCCCGCGGGCAAGGAATAGGCAAACATGGCTGTGAAGGGGTGGATGGACATCCTACTCCAAGATGAGTGCGGCAGGGGTCGGGTAAAGTGTGTGACAGTCAACAGCGTGAGATGCCAACGGCGAACGTGGGATTATGCCTCGTTGGAAGCAGCTGTGTAATCAGTCGAGCCAGGCAACAAATCGTCAAACGGCCGGCCGATGGCATGAATGCGTCGGAGACCTGTTGTTCAACGAACTGTCAGTCGCCCGGTACAATGCCCAGCAGTACCAAAGAGTATTTCTGGACTTGCTGCCTGGTCGTCACTCGCCGACTGAGGGGGGGTGGTAAGAGTCCCGCCGAGGTGGTCCGTCATGTGAGCAACGACGACGTCCTCCGGTTCTTGGTTCCGGACTGCAGGTATGTCGGGGCCGGCCGAGCGAACAAGTCAGAACACGTAAGTTGAGCAGAACAAAAGGCCTTGGGCCACGCTGAGAGGCTAAGAAACAGCCCCCATCTGGGAGGCTTGGGGATAGAAAGACGATGAACGCGGGGCCACTCAGCCGGGTGTGGTGTGGCTCGCGCGGATTTTGTCCAATCTACATCCAAAGAATTTGATATTCCAAGATAGGGTGTGGAGGGTAGGCGAAATGAGACATGGCCACGCTGATACTGGGACAAAATGAGCACCCGGGGGGTAGACGAGAGGCCCAAGATGTACAGGACGTAAGCAAGCAGTTGACGCGAAGGACGCAGTGCGTACGTTTTTCCGGTCTAGCGCAGAGCCGACGGGGCGGATTTGGCCACACCCACATCCCACGTTGTTCCATGCTTTGCACCCAGCAGGCTGGAGCAGGGCGAGGGTGTAAGTCCATAGGGCTGAAGGATGCTGAGGCTTTGTCAACCGTTGAACGACGACGTTGTACAAACTCTATGGAGTGCTGGATCGTGGCCGAGAACGATCTCTTGCATTTACGGCGTTTCAGTCTCGATCAGCCTGGTGGATCATGAGACCCAGTGTTATAAGGCAGTCGACTAGGTCAAGATGCGTTCGTTTGACCTCTTTGGTCTGTTTAGCTCAGCTTAGCTTTCTCCTAAGTGAGCGATGTGGGGGATTTGACTGGGGTAGGAGACAGTCACCAAACTCACAACGAGGGAACTCCCCTCTGCGCCGCTTCCAATGCTTGGCTTGCTGCCACGCAAGTGTGGACTGCGGCATATTGAACATGCCGTAAGACGACTGAAAGCAAGTTTCTTGAGTCAGAAAGAGACTTTACTTGTCGAAATCGCGGGTGAGCCATGGCGAGTAGGGTGTTACTGTCGGCCGCCCCGGCCTTAAACCCCCTGCTGCAGAATTGTTGCAGCCCTTTGATGGGGTGATAGAGCAACAGTAGGTAATAGAGCAGGGCTACCCTAGAGCCGAGACATAATCACCTTGTACCTGGCTGCCGGTTCTGATGTTGCTGCCGCCGCCGCCGGTGTTTCGTTTGGGTGAACCGGCCAGGTGGTTGTGAAGCATCAGGCTGGCGGGGGGTGCGGAGTTATTGGTGTGATGCCTGCGTGAACGACGAGTTCTCAGGGGCCACTGCCCCTCATCCCAGTATCGGGGTCAGCTTGAACAGCCTACGATTGGCTCTGACAGCTACCATGACGACTTGCATGTTGCGTGGGTCTCTTCAGTGCCAAATGAGGGTGCGTGTCCAGATATGTTGTCAGCGTGCCCGAAACCAAGCACATGGAGTTTGTGTAACCCGAAAGATGAAGAATCTCTGTCAACCGTCGTACACTTGTGATGGCCCCAAGGTACTGTGCATATTCTTTCCAGATAGTCCACAAGGTGATATCCGAAATAATAGCATTCGGTGTCGTGCCGTCAGTTCCTCCACTTCGGCGTAAGCAACCGCACGGCTTGGTCAGAAAGAGTCGAAGTGGCCAAACGCTGCCTATTGCCCCGATGTCGATTCGCTCTGTGGGAGTCAAAAATAAACATGTATGGAAGCTGACTCAACATCGAATCGCTGTGAAAGGCGTCATGGACGTAGGCAACATCGGTTGATCTGCATCTCATGAAATGTCAGTCGGGCGGAGACCAAGATAGGCGTGTTCTGTGAGGTTGTGTAAGCTCACATGATACCAAATCGAGCCCGAACCGCATCCACTTTCTCCGCCCGAGAGTACACTCAGTCGCGACCGCCGAAGCAGAACTCGGACAGGTTTCGCCCTTGCTTAGACTTGGTGACTCTTTGAGATGACCGGGAACTTCGTCGAAAGCGCAGGAACCTTTGAGAACCGTGATGTATCGCGGGAACGGCCGGCAAGACTCCACAGCATTGCGCTCATCGGGTTGGCTCTATCGGCTGAAGGATTGCGGCAAAGGCAAAAAGCACCGAAATAGGACTGACCGATCTTCGAACTACGCCCTCCTATTCGCCATAATACCATCCAATCAGCCTGCTCAGACCAACCGAAATAAATAAATCATGTTGCCAGTTTGCAATATACGAAGCTCCGGCGTAAGCCTACACGCAACGCTTAATCCACGCGCGAGGTTGTCACTTGACAATCGCAGGCTTTTTTTGATTAGTGATCAGGTGTGGTTTAGCTCTGCGAGCCGAGAATGTCAAAATACACAGTGGATTCCGCGTGCAAGGCAGATTCGTGGCATCGAGTCACCAGTCGAGGTAGGGCGTGAAACATGTGTGAAGATCCAGCAATCTAAGCATTTGTCTACGCATTATTAGCTGAGAATACGTGCAGGCATAATCAGGTCTTACGGGTTGACTGAAATGCCCACGCCCGCCGCCCGCCTTAGGGTATCCCAGCCGACTTTTCCTCGTTCCTCATAACGCCTGAAAGAGAAATCACAAACCAAACCCATTTCGCCCAGTGGCGCTCCAAATTTGACTCATCTGTACCCACGGCCACCGCCGCCGCCGCCGCCGCCGCGACCGCCACGATCACGACTACGGCTCGGGGACCGGGATCGACGGCTATCGTAGCTATCGTAGCTGTCTCGACTCGGGCTCCTTCTTCGGCGGTTGCGGTCGTTACCGCGTGCACCTCCTCCACGTCTCGGGGGTGGTGATGGAGACCGAGAGTATGATCTTGAACGGCTTCGGTATCTACTTCCACCACCGCCTCTGGACGGAGGAGCAGCGACGGGAGACCGGCTTGGGGAACGCGAAAGCGATCGAGGCCGGTAGGTGTCTGATCTGGGGCCAAAGCGACCCTGAGGTGGTGATGCACCCCGTCGGGGACCGTTCTGGCCGAAAGGACCGGGTCCGCCTCCTCCACCACCGTGGAATCCGCCCTGAGCTCTTCCCCCTCGGCCGCCTCTAGCATCGGAGCCTCCGCCACGTCGAGCAGCTGGAGGTGCTGGGGACATCTTGCGCCGGGGAAGGACGATTGAAACGTTGATTACCGCGCCATCAAGCTGTGCCTCATGCATGTGGGCAATAGCATCCTCGGCATCGGCCTCGGTATCGTATAGGATGTAAGCAGTGCCGCGGTTAGTGCCGTCTGGAGGAGAAGGAATGTCAGCCTCATGTAGCAGGGATCCATTTGGAGGCCGTTCAAGTCGACCCTGTGAGGACAGATACTGACGAGTTCTATTAATGGGCAGGTCAAGATCCTTGATGTGCCCAAATTGGCCAAAGATCTCCTCCAAATGGGCTTCATTGATATTCTTGGTCAATCGCTCGACAACAATCTAATTCAATGCAGAGTCAGCAGCTTGGAAAATGACAGCGCGAGTGATTCATAGAGCGAGAAGATCAATTTACCTTGGTGCTTCTGATAGCAGGACTAGCGCTTCTTCCACGGCTCCGGCTGCGGCTTCCGCTTCTCTGCCTGCCATTTCGTCGCGGCGTGGGAGATCGGGAACGCGACGGAGATCGCGAATCGTACGTATGACGACGGACTGGGGAGCGAGACCGGTCTGACAGCGGTGTCAATGACCGAGAATGGTCGCGGTAGCGGTCGCGAGAGAGCGATCTTGTTCGGGACGCCATGGTTGCTTGTTTTGGGACAAAAGCTTGGTTGACAGGTTGGCGAAATTGACCAAGGCGTCGCAAACCGCGACCCTCTTTCCTGTCGTGCCAGGACTGACGTGTGATCACGTGATATATGTGGATCCATACCGAGGTGGCAGGCACGCGCCTCGGTGGGGTTCGGTCAACGGGCAACTGCGGTTCAGTCATTTTACTTATAAAGGCATCTAGATGCGGAAGATGAAGGTAGACAACATCGGTTCAACATACCTTACTCTATTTGAGATTGTGGTGCCGGCGTGGCTCTAGATCGGCCGAACCGCAATATGCCTTCGCCTTGCCTTATTCTTTAACATTTAAGTCATATTCTCTGATTTGGCTCTTTTTAAGGCCTCCTCGAGGTATTAATCTGTGTCTGCCGCTATGATTCTTACGCGGTATTGAGTGTCCGAAACGAGGATGAGACTTATGAAAGCGAGTGATTTGTATTGAAATCAATCCGTATCGAACATCATGTCCAGGTCATAGTGTGGAGGCAGATAATCAGGAGGAAGTTCCATGATAATGTACAGATTCCTATTATTACTATGTACACTCGCTGTAACATTGCTAAGCGTCGATGACGCAAACAAGTCCCCTCAAGGACCTGATATCTCAGACTCAGAGTGTACAGCAGTCCACTGCCTCCCAATCCGCTTGTGTCGTGATAATACATGGCAAAGGGCCAATTCATGTTTTGCTTTTGCCCCGAGCCACGTCGTGTCTTGAGGATACCTGAACGCCTCAACCATTTCTGTTGAAATCAACGGCACCATTATATTGCCTATTACCTTGTGCCCTCCAGAACAAAAGAAATCACCAGGGAGCCTATGCAGCCCACTCCACGACCTCCAAAGCGCACATGACGAGCACCAAGGTTGATGGAAGAATCCTACGACACTTGTTAATATATGCAGAGGAAGAAATCCAGACACATTTGGCTACATACCAGATAACATAGCTCTGGAAGAGGATTCTCGACATGACACTTTCGTAAACCTCGTTGATTTGGCAAATCTGAGCCAGTTGGAGAGCACTCGGGGCGCCGGTCAACAAGAAGCAGACGATGACAAAGATGGGGTCATCCAGAATGCTGACTGGCACGTACTTGGCGAAGACGGCCAGAATAGGGGTCATGATCAAAGTCGGCAGGAGCATGCGGCACACCAAGGATGCGACAAGGAGCTTGGTTCCGATCTGGTCCTCCTCAGGATCCCGCATCTTCTCGCTCTTTTGCGTGTTGCGAGCGAGGTTGGCACCAAGAACAACCAGGATCAAGGGCACAGCGACGCCACCACTGGACTGAACAGCATCCGTGAAACTGTTCTTGATGAAGGATCCCTCTTCGAAAAAGATCTTCTGCAGAGCCGGGACTGAGGCAACAACGACGGCGCTAAGCATGGCCCACAGAGGCGGGTTCATGAACTCCCACAAAAAGTTGTAAAACTTGCCGGCGAAGCGGCTCAGGGCCGAGAGAATCGTCTTGAAGGGGGTCGGCAAACTGTTGTAGACTCTCGCAAAGAAGTTTGATGTCGATTCCTTAGCAGAGGTGACGGCGTTGTTGAAGGCGTTCTTAATGCGGCTAGGGTAGCCTTTAACTCCCTCGGGGATTTCGGGTTCATCCGTGTTACGAATGCGGGGAAAGGACGATATCTCATCGCCACTTCCGTCGAAAACGGGATGGTTACCATTGAGGGGTGCGAGACCGTTGGTCTTCATCGGCTTCTTGGGAAGGTAGTCGTCGTCCTCGTCTTCGGTATCGGCGGGGGAGGCTCTGGATCTGCTAGCAACAGGGGTGCGACCGGCCGGCTCATAGTTGGATAGGTCATCACTCGAGTGACTACGGGAAGTAGCGGTGCCGTCATCGTACTCGGTCAATAGGGGAGCGGTCTCGCGATCTCCCGGGTATTGTCCCTCCTCGACGCGCTCGTCCTGGTACTCGGGGTACTTGTCCTTGGGAGCAAGCAGCACGTGGTAGCCCCAGCTCCAGCGCACCAACTGACCGAGCTGCTGGAAGATCAAGAGGTATAGAATACCACGGGCACCAACCTCGTCATCGTTGTCCCCGGGGATCTTGTCCCAGTGTAGCCCCTTGATAGTTTGCGACAGGGACAAGATCATAGAGATGGGCAGGGAGTTTGAGTTTCCAAAGACTCCCATGGCCGTGACAAAGTTAGTAGCGCGGCGGTTGAAGCCAAAGCCGCGGGCGACGCCGGTAGCGACGAGCCAGGAGACAAGAGTCTGAATGATGAAGATGATGGGGATTACGGCGAGATCGAGGAGCTTGTCGGCATTGAGTTGCGAAGCCAACTTGGTAAAGACTTGTGAACACTGTTAGGAAGGCTACTTGGACACTATCGTGCAGGCGAGGTGGAATTGTAGACATACTAAGGCAAGGCGTGAATAGCATGACATTGAGATTGGCCAAGAACTTTTGCTTTTCAGCATCAAAGTGGCCAAGACGGGCAATGATGTAGCCCGGCAAGCTCACGCACACAACCTCGAGGACAGCCTCGAAGACGAGAAGAACCAAGTTACCCATGGAGGGGTGTGAATCGTGAGGCTTCTTCATGGCCATGAGGGGCATTTCGTATACGTTTTGAGCCATGTCTGCCAGTCGAAACGACGTCGGCGACGTCAAGTATTGTTGGTCCATTCTGGGACGTGGATATTAAAAGAGAGCGCAGAGACGGAGACTGCGGATGTCGAGGTTGAAGGAAGGTTACGGCGGAGATAGAAAGGGCTTCAGGACGGAGGTCCTGAGCGGCCAAAGCTGATGGAAGGTTCTCAAGAGGCTTGGCGCGGCGCGTTGACCTTGTAATCGGGCCCAAGCAGCGCGATGTGAATGTTTCGGATAGCCGGCGATGGGACGGATCGCAACTGAAAGAGTAAGGTACGGTGTTGAAGTCGGTGATCGGGTTTTTGGTTGGATGTCGGGATTATCGGTGGTATGTGTCGGGCCTCCACAGTAGAGTTCGGCCTTTTCCAGAAGTTTGCGACCAAGCTCTCATCCTCTGGCGACAAGAGACATGAGGAAAGTGCGAAAGTAGGTAGTATTAGTGTATTGGTGTCGCTGCTCGTCGTTTGGTAGAGAATCGTTGAGGAAAGGAAGCACGTGCAGGTATCAAGTTGATGGACAAGGTGTGGGAGGGGGAAAAGATGGAAGAAGGGAAAGGCAGAATACAGGTAAAGGTGATGGGTAGAAGGACCGAGAGTTCTCAGCCACAGAAGGGAAGGCACGATGATATGAGGTTGGTCCGAGTGGGTAGATTGATAAAGGAAAGAAAAATACGTAGTCGAGGCGAGCTAATCACGGCGCAAAAAAATGGCGATGGCGGCGTACCAACTGGGCTGGGCTGGGCTGCCCAGGCTGAGGTCGCCAGGGATGAGGGCGGCTCGCAGTGTGCCACTTCAGCGCGACAGCTCACTGTTTGGGAACAGCCCCAGATTCCGTCACCTCTGTTTTTACCGTTTCTGCCTGCTACGGATACTTTTACTGCCTGTTCTTGTCCAGCTTTACGCAGTAAGGTAAGGTCCAGACTCCCAGGCCACCTCAGACTGGACCGTATCAGTTACGCAGATGGTGCAGCGACGCAACCTTGACACCTTCCCCCCAGTGGGGATGTGCAACACACTCAGCGACAAGCCGCAACCTGGCACACTGGCAGCCACCCACCCACTGCGTAGTGGAAGGCACTAAGGTGACGGACACCTCCCGCTAAGAAACACTTGGCGCCCAATCAGGAGCGCGAATGAGCCCACGATGACGCCGGGCTCCCAGCTTCAGCAGCAACAGCAGCAGGAGCAAGTCTCCATTCTGTGCCTCTGAGCAACTCATGCCGAAACTGAGCTGCCACCACCCTGTTGCTTCCTGCTGGGTCTTGCAACCCGCAAAACTCTGCATGCAAGGCACCCCGGCTATTCTTGCTCCGTTTTAGCAGTACGCTTAATGTGGTAGGCTCCCATCTCCCTCCCTTCCATCTGTGCACTGCCATCTTCTACATACTTGTAGGTATGTATCAAGTTGTTCATCAACTTAACTTCTTCCATTTCTTACAGACCATGCGAGCCCACAAGAGATATTCGAGGGAGGCAGCCGCTGCGTTGTATGTCCTGGTGGCAAAAAGAACACCAAACAGGTCCAACAGGAAGCACATCATCAATATGCACCCAGAAGCAAGCGCCTCACAGAACAACCAACTGACCGACTGGCTCTTGGCACAACAGGCGCAGTGTATTACACGGCGCCTTGGCAATGGCGTCGAATCGAAATCGAAATTGCCCTGACGTCGCCAGCTCCCGTCGACATGACGGACCCGACGTGGCCCCTCGCCTTTGGCCTTCTTCCTTACCGATAGCTGCTGCGACACCTCCGACTGCGACGCAAGCCGACATTCAATCCATCCATTCACCACCGTTTCTCTCGCCCGTCCCTTGCTTAGCTCCAGGAGTCTATCCCCTGCCGTTGGCCGTTTCCGGTTTTCCGCCCCCCATCTTTCTTGATTCATCCGTTGTCTGATAATGTTGCACATCGGCACACGACCTTGCATCGCCAGACATTCACGACATTTACGGCAGTACACCCACCGAGCACGGATACCTACCAACACGTTGTTTGAATGGTCCTCTATGAGTCTATACCTACTCCATACAGAGTATCCGTACACGGAGTACGGATACACCAGAGAGTATCCATTCGGCATGGGATGCCACACCTGACGATCTTCCTCCGAGAGACACCCGCACCCGCACCCACAGAAACATCAGATCGCCTCCCGCGTTCCGCAGGTACGCATGCTGTACGTCAGGTTGCAGCGATTGAGAAGCACACGTTCGTTTCGGGAACTTCACCTCTGTTAGCCTCCCATCCAGCACACGGCGGAACCCAGTTTTTTTCCAACACACAAATATCTTGCCTGTTTCTTTCCCAGATATGGGATGTAAGAGAATACCTCCTCAGTCACACTGTTGCCGAGACACCATCAACGAACGCTTGCTTCGCCATCTCATCTCTGCGCTGATAGTTCCCGCACCCCGGGCTGTGCGGTCAAGATTTAGCCCCGATACCGCCGCCAAGCTGCCTCGGAGCCCAACTATTCAAGGGTCTTGCCAGCAACTTAAGCTTCGTGGCCGCGGTCCGCAGCGACTTCAGGGAGGGAACTTTCGGCTGCGTTTGCCCTCCTACTTCGCCCTTTTGCATGCACATCCGAAGTGAGGCTGTTGCATTCCCCATCACCCCGCCGTTTCTCCTCAACTTTGCCCATGATGGAAACGGTAGCTTTGAGCTTTACTAAACGTACGCACAGATGCTCCATCAAGGTAAATGCCTTCTGCTTCTCGACCACAGCTACCATATTCAGGCTACTGCTCTCAGTCCATTGTGCGGTCGTGTCAAATGTATGACGAGAAAAGATATCTTGAGCCGGGAGATCAGACTTTCACCGCGCCAAGTTGGGTTCAATACAAACACAGAACATGAGGCTATGCAGAAACGACTTGGCTGCTACACTTTGGATGACTTTGTTATCAGATCGCCAAGACATATTCCACATTGCCCGTTGCTTCCAACCATGCGCGGTATCTCGTCGGTATTTCGGCCAGCTTAAACGTTTGATGCTACCTACAGTCTTCTCGATTATTCTGTGATGGTCCTTTGAGTATCGAACATGCCTCTTGGCAGGTTCTGCGATCTCCCGTCGTCAAAGCCCTGCACTTGCAGGTACTTAGGAAGGCGATCACTTGGTAGATAGATGTGCTGATGCCCTCAGTTCCTTGCTCCTTTTTCCAGCTGTTGAGCTCAGGGCCCGTCTCAGCATCCTTTGAAGCAGGCAGATGAGTGTTTTGCAGCAATGAACTAGCTATTTCTCGGCCTTTCACTCATAACTTTCGTTCCTCATGAGCGAGACCAGCAGCTTCAGGTTGACTGGTGACGTTCAAAGTCATTGTCCAAAATCATTGAGTACATCACGGATAACACCTAGACATATTGCCGTGGGACTCGCTCTTCCGAACGATGAAGAGAGCACTGGCAGCAGGCCGGTTGCTTTTGTTCTCCCGATCCAGTATGTCTCTATTTGCGCCGAGGGTTCACTAAAGATGTCGCATTTCACACAAAACCCTTATAACGGGCCCAAAAGACGTCCTGAGGCCCACGATAATGCGGTTGATCGGGCAGCCTTGAGAGTCCTCACCTTCTCGTCTCGTCGAGGACCATCGAAGAAACAAAACCTCTTCTCAAAATCCTTCACCTTGCTATACAAAATCAATCAAGACACCTACTATACACCACACCACAACAAAACTAACAGCAAGCCCAATATGAAGAGCAACCAGACCTCCGATCAGAAGAAGCAGAAAGAGGAGAAGACTCTACAGATGGCCGATCCCAAGAACGAGGACAGCAAGTCTGCTGGCCCTGCGGGCAAAGTTGCCCTCTCTTCCACCGCACAGCAGCAGCAGCACGAGAAGCCTCGTCGCGTCATCAAGCCTCGCCCTCAGCACGCGAGCTCCCTCGAGACCGCGGACGATGATGAGTATGACGACTGCTGGGACCCCTATTACGAGGACTCGCCGGCCAAGGACGACAAAGTTGTCGAGGAGGACTTTGTCCTCATGAAGAAGCCTAACCCGTCTCGTTAAGAATCCCATTCTGGACGGAAGGAAGGAAGGAAACGAAGATCGGGCACGAGCCAGATTGAGCTGCGGCAAGAGCTTCACCATTCCCATAAGGAGGTCAGTACTGCCCACTTGGCATCGTCGCGGCCTCGATATACTAACTTGAATATCTAGGTGATGAAAACCCTTGTGAGATTACGATGACTTCCTTCCTTTACATACATATTCATGAAAACGATGGCTAGTGGCCAATTTCCATCAACCAGCGTCTCTTTCTTCTGTGTGATTTCTTCCCGTTCCTGAAGGCCAGCTCTAGATCTCCTGCTCTAGATCCCTGCCTTAGATCCCTGCCTTAGATCCCCGCCTTGGGCACCTGCTTTGTATCGCTTGCCCCTTTACGCAGGTAAACGTAAAGAATATTGACATGAGATAGGCAGTATGAGGCAGCCTTTCCAACAATCTCTGGATGCGGGCAAGTCTAAGGACATTCCTCTTAATTATCATGACCACGCGATATCACTTCTCCTGTCTGGTGGCAGCGGTCCGACCCGTCATCTAGAATTCGATGCCGGCGGTTGAGAAGGTAGATGGGGAAGCTTCTCGTGATGGATATCGTAGACTGTATTTGGCTGGTATGCTGGAATCATAGACAACGCGGTAGATGGTCAATACCAATCTCCGAATGAATTAATGAAGACATCCATCTAATTTTACTACTCTCAGCCCAAGATCGTAATCAATTGCTCCTCGTAAGGTAGCCTTTGGGTGAAATGCCGTTCCTTCCTTCTACAGCGCCGACCACGTGGGTATATCGGGCTGACTGCTTGCCCGAGATGCCTTATGTTCATATTCAGCTTCTCCTTCCGCTGGTGAGCGTAGCCTATCCAGGATCTCTTCTTCAGGGCTTTTAGACGTACATCGATATAACCAGAGGCCGAAATATATCGAGACCCGTAGAGCGCGAGAAATATGACGGGTGTGCGAATAGTGATGGGAATCTTCAATGTCGAATGCAATGACTATTTCAAGTATTCAACACCTTAATGAATAGCTCATCTACGCAGAAGGTAATTATTATCACCCAGTTATTCCCACATCACGAAAGATGGCTCATAGATTACAAGTGTACTCAGTCCGGGGATTTGTGCACTGGGCTATTCGACATGAGGGAAACAACATCGGTTGCCGTAGTTGGTCCGGTTGGTTGTGAACACCATCTGCAATCTTCAAAATTATATCACTTAATTCACGATGCTTCAATACTCCCGGTTAATAATCTACAGACGGTATGACTAACCCATCGTCCAGGCTTCAATGCCGTCAGCACTGAAAGTTCCCTCTCAATCCAAACCAAAAAAAAAAAAACCAACCAAAAAGCAACCAAAGTAATGCCATGCTTGTGGTTGATGTTTCGATGTCTCATCTTGTGCTAGCTTGCGACCTTGACGTAATAGACATGCTATTCGGAGGATGAACAAGAAATACGTCTACAACTTGCATCACATCAATCGCCAGACTTTCGGCTACGTACCTCGAAAGATTTGATGAACAAGTGATATGCACAAAAATTAGATGCATGATATCAATCAGCATCACATCATGCGCCCGAGATGGGCAACATTACGGTCTTGTTCGACATCGAGATTATCGGAAGCTGTCAGCAGAGCCCAGGAGCTTACACACACTTGCACCAAAGGAGGTGATCGACAAGCGGCGTGGGGGAAAGAAGAGTCACACTGGACAAGACTGGACAAGACATCAAAGTGAAACAGATGACAGATGTGGAGAATCGAGGATAATCTCTACGGTGCTTGTGGTTGCTTTGTGGCACGACGGATGAGCAGAGTGCAGGTGGCGAAACCATGTGGCTGATGACGACAGAGGGTTCATCCTCTTCGCTCTGCTTCTCCCCGGTCCAGATATCGACAAAGTCAACAACCTCAACAAGACGATTACAAATGTTCGTAGACTGAATCAAAAGACGCGGAATTGATAGGAGATACGGTCGGCAATTGCAACATCTCGGAGGCCGCTTGCCATTGAATTTACGCTTCTCCTTGACTCTGCAGGGCCTTCCCTGGCGAGCTGAACTACAGTTTACCATGGGATACTCTGTTTTGACAGCATTTGCCACTTTCGACGACCATCGGCGAGAGCTCCGGTCGACTGCGCGACAGGATTGGTCCGGTTTGCGCGGCATCCAGCGTTGGCTCTTCTGGGTGTGTCCTCTCAAGAGGCAGATCTTTTTGGAGGGTAACATTTTCTCTTGGGCATCAGGGCATCAAAACACTAAAAAAATTAGAGGACCCTTGAATTACTTTCGACTGCGTGGACCGTTAGACTTTGAAACTGCATATTTTCCCCGGGGGGCTGTGAGGCGATGATCGCGGGTAGGCCGTAGCGAGTGGCGGCTGTGGATGAGATTAGGAAACGTGCCCATAGTCTGGATTCTGTTTTCGTTCACCGTATTCTAGATTCCGTATTCCAGATCTCGCAGATCAGGTCATGGGATTTTGCTCGCTGGCATCTTGTGTTTCCGCGATCACGCCCGCCCTAGCCGTGGTGGTTTCGAGATGCTCAGACGCTCCGACCGACGACGTCTTACCTAACAATTAAGGTACTTAGGCACCTTGGCTGTTGGACTGCAGCACGAAGACGTCAGCGAATCGCATAGACGCGGGCGAGGTTCCGGTCGAACTACGATTGGACGGAACGCAGAGAAGAATTTCGTACCTCGATGATGTCAGGCGGAGGTAATTGTCCGCTGTTATTGATAAGATAAGGCATCGAAGTACCTAGGTCCCTACCCAAAAAGCTGCCCTGTTCAATTCTCTGGGAAAAGCAAATGTACATAGTACGTATCGTACGCATATTCTGGACGACGGGAGAAAACGTCATCAGTCGATGGGAAATCGTCCTAGTGGCATGCCGTTTCTTCCATGAATTCCTAATACCCAGTGCATAGCGATGATGCAAAACCCATTTCGACCTTCTCTTGATTTAGGAAAATCATCGGATGGCATTGTGTACAACCCTATACTTTTTCAGGTCAGCAGCCTGCCCATCCCCGATCCGCGATGGGCAGACGTGCTTCAACGACGAAGAGTTGCGGTGGGGGTTGAACCTCACCAGGAGACGCTGTACGGGCTAAGTAGCCAGTAGCGCGAGTGTAGTGAGCCTCCCACGGGAAATTACGCTCATCCGTTCAAAACTTCAAGCCACAAGTTTTTCTCAGTCTGTCGTTGGCGTTGCTCTTTGCAACTCGTGGAACTCCCTCTTACTCCATCAACGTCATCACTCCTCAGTGACGACCCCATAGCAAATTGACGAATTGCGGGACGCCGGAAGAGGGGGCTAGGATCAGTGACCGGGGTATGGATGACACTGGCGCTGAGGGGCCCTCACTATCAAACTTGTCAAAGGCAAGCATTCTCCAATCTCCATTCTCCAACAGAGACCTACCAAGCAGAGAACAAAGCCTACCTTAGTCCTGCCCTTTCGAAGGGCTTCTATCAAGACGGCTCGATCATTGGTCGACGAGGTCGAGGATGCCATGCGCAAATTCAGATGGCCGCTGCTTCGGCACGGTACTTTGCGGTCTAAGAGACTAGCGTCAACGGGGGAATATGCAGCTTTCATCTTAGACTGCCCGTCGTCGTCCTTCCTGGTGGGTGCTTCGACCGCATGACGGTGCCGCCTTCGCCAATCGTTTGCTTTGCCTTCAACAGGCAAGCCCTCCGCCGGGCGCCAGAAGTCATGGCCGATGCGTCCCTATGTAATGTGCTGTGTTTGTGGGGGCCGGATCGTGAAAGATGTCGAGAAAGAAAAATGCAGCTGTTGTTGCGGTGTAAGACAGAAACGGTCTAGTCGTCCGTTGCTTGTATCTGGGTTTCGTCTGCTTGGTGGCTACTATCGCTTTGGTTGAGGTAGGGGTCTGTAGACCAGCTCGGTTCCGAGCTGCGAGTTACATCACTCTGGCCGTTGCATGTGCTATTTTCAGAAACATCGCGACGAAGTTAGCAGGTTTCCGCAAGATGAGATTAGCGCTGTGATTCTCACTCTTGATGTACAGAAGCTAGCTCAGTCATTCCCGTCACTGGAGCGAGTATCCTTAGCAGATGGAGCATAATGCATGGAGCACATATGCAGGCGCGTCCACCGTCGAGAGGTGATGTGCGGAAAAACCTTGCTGATGGTCCCCTGCAATGCTCACTAAAGGGCCACAGAGCCTGCTTAGGGGGGGGGGGGGGTTCGAATGACTCCATGGGCCTGGTCCCCTTGCGACAGCCGAGCCACACAAGTATCTCTGGGTGGCTGCTGGTTGTCGTTGTAGACGCAGGGCATCTCATTGTTTGGTGCAGTGTGAGATAGGTAGTCGAACTGTCGCAATGGTGAGATCTGACTGACGATGCGTGGGTAGCTCTTGGAAAACGATTGGAGTAGACCGCTGTCACCGGATGCACGATGTCCTGGAAGAAGCCGAGAGGAAGTTGGATAGACTGGGCGGTGATGCAGGTGGCGGTGCTCTCCAAGGGACAGTCGCTGCATATGCGGATGTGCATATCGTTCAGGGCTCAGGGAGTCAGGGCAGGGCGGATGGATGGATGGATGTTTTCCCTTCATGCTTGGGACGCGGGAGAGTGCTGCGAGGCCTAGGTTGAGAGAGAACTTGTCGCTGCGCTGCTGTTCCATTGCGCTGCTATTGCACACCGGGAAGGCTTGATATGTGGTTTTTGTTTCTTTTTGCGGCGCATCTGCCCAAGCTGCCTTCCCTGACCTTGCCTGATGTCTGTAGTTGTGAAGCCAAGGCAGGGATCTCCTCCCTTTAGACCCTCAGATTATTGAGTGCTATTGACTGACCAACATTGAAGTCTGGACTGCCGGGCAGCCGTCAGGTCCCACCGAAGAAGAACAGCACGGAACCGGAATGGTGCTACCTGACCTGATTGTGGATGACACGACGAGCCTCTTCTGCCTCTTTCTAGGCGAGTTTCGATTTTCGTACCGATGTACCTTGTTGAGTG